CGCTGTAGCGTCTTGTACACAAGTTCAGACGGAGTTAGCTCAGTGGAGACAAGCGGGGCTCAAGTGCATCTTTCTCGACTAAATTCCGCCCTATCAAGGAATTAAGAAGACAAAACTGGAACTACTGTAAACCCACTTTTAATTATTGAGCACTTATTTCGCACCAGCAACAACGGGTCTCAACTCGAAACTGGTTCTTCACTATTCCAAGAATACATCACGGGAGTGAGCAGTTGTGAGCGGAAATCTTCACCGCAGAGGGGACTCAAACCAGAAACTCACGCTTTTCGGGCCAGGGTGCTATCGGTTACCTCTTACGCTCTCGGCGGCAGTTATCAATTCAACTTCAGGTATGTGAAACCTTCGGCTTGCCCCAGATTCACTGCCGATCGCGGTGCAGCGTGGGGATGTGCGGAGTGTCGGTATGGGTACTGATTTTTGAATTTGTCTCCCAAATGCGACCCCACCCCCCTCCCCAGAGCAAAAGTACGACCCCCATGGGTTTGACACAACGATGCTGTATCCTGCTGCCGATTGGCTAACCGGCTTCACGAGGAATGTGTGAGAGTTTTAAGGCTATGGCGCAAAAGCCAGCGAGGGGCAGGTAAGAGATGGCACAGGTGATGTAACGGAAGGCGCACTCGCCCGGGAGCGCGAGGTCTGAGTTCAAGTGCTGCCTGTGGTGAAAGTTTTGCCCATAACTCAACATTCGTGTGATAATGTTCGGAGCTCAGTCAGCATAACAAAAACCTTCATAGCGTAGTGCGACTTGTGGGGGGGCAGCAAGTAATTCTTGGCGAATTCTGCACAAACCACCACGTGGAGGTCTGCAAATTCTTTCAATTGAAGTATGCCCCTTGTACCGCTTTGCAGTTTCACAAGAGTTTACAGGTCATACCAAAATGGGACTATTAGAAGGCAGAGGTGGCAAAAGGAAATAACGAAAGTGCAGAATGCCCCTCCCAAGCAGAACGGCGCCAAACTTAAAAAAACTCAAACGCTCTTGTCATTTTTGGCTTTGAAAAAGGACCAGCTATCACTGACCACTAGGATGCGACATTGCACTCTTTCACAGAAAGTAGT